GGTGAGGTAGGTGCGTTCAGCATAGAATCGATGTCTCTGGATTCAGCTGCGATGCCAGCATGTCGAAAGGCTCTAGCCATTCAATCCGGCCTTTGACGCTGTGCGTGAATGGCGACGCAAAGGAGGTGAATCTCGTCGCCCACCGTCAACGAGCTGACTCAAGTGAGCCCGCAGCTCGTCTTGCGCCCTTGCACTAATCAGATCAACACCAAATTCCTCCTCGAGTTTATAAAACCATTGCTCTTGCAGCACAGACGAAAACAGTCCAACACCGGCTTGGGCGCCTGCCGCACGTCGACGAAATGCACACTCACGGTGACTGAGTGGTCGGTAAGCTGCGTATCGAGAATCGGTTCTCTTGCGCATGATACTCCTCTCACGGCAAACGGCAAGCAGCTCGTTCATCAGCTGTATGGCATCATTGCGCGTGCGGGAGCGATTCATGCGGCTCGTTGATCGAAGATACTCGGCTCTCAAAGCTTGCTCCTCCCGAGTGCAGAGTGCTCGACCGTCATGGGCCGTGTCTTGTTGGTATCCGTTGCGAGTACGCGCGGTATGAATTTCATTTGGGGTCGCATCGTACGCAGTTCAGAACAAGGCCGGTGAGGATGGACGACGGCAACGGCCGCTACCGGAAAAAAGCTTCTCAAGCGAAACAAAGCATGATCGAAAACTGGCGGGCTGGCCTTTCACTGCTCCTGTGAAGAACCTTGAGGGTCTTCATCCTGAAACACACGGCCCGCCATGTGATGGGCAGCAACAGCCGCGTCGGCTCGCTGTCGTCGTTCGTGTTGATTTTTCTAAATGGAAAAAGCTTATGATGAGCAACGAGAATTCGCGGCCAAGGCAATGACCAAGCGCATACCGAATGGGCATCTTGACACTTGGGAGCTCACAGCGCACTGCCACAGCCTGACCCTCTCAGCGATCGTAGATGCAGCAGCGGGCAAGCCGCACCGCGACTCTTCCAACCCGCTCGCGGCGCAGCCAGAGCCCTCAAATGGCAGCAGAGTATCTCACTAGCGTGTGACGAAGCCACTTGAGAACAGGTGCAAATCAACAACAGGAGGCAAGTGGTGCATGGCATCGTCTCTGTGACCCTTGCAGGACGGAGGTTGGCTCAAGATCAAGAGTCTCCAGGACTCGAGAGTCCGTTTCAACACACATCGCCACAAAAGTTTTTTACTTTTTTTTCAAATAAAACAGGATTTTCAAGGGAGGAGACAGAGAATGTCATCCTTTTGGAGATCGCTTCAATAAGTGCTGAATATACTGCATCTTGTTACTTTGACTGGCCAAGATCTGCTTCAACTACTTGGAGCTTTGCTTCATTAACCCCTTGGCTCTGCTTTGCTGTAGAGAGACACAGAGAGAGAGACGGAGAATGTCAGATCGCTTCAATAAGTGCTGAATGTACTGCATCTTGTTACTTTGACTGGCCATGATCGGCTTCAACTAGTCGTATCTTTGCTTCATTAACCTCTTGCCTCTCTTCCTTCCCTTAAGCTTTGCTTGAATTTTTAATTTTGAACATCGCGATGAAGCACAGACAGAGGATGAAACAGGACCATGGGCGGCGGGCGCACTCCTGATGATGATGGTGCGGTTTGTCGTCGTTGTGGCATCAGGGGCGAGCGCTGTCGAGGTGCAAGCGATGAC